GCGCTTTCCCGGACCTGACAGCCGCCGCCGGGCCTCGGGGAGTGTGGGGAGCAAGACGCGCGAGGAGGAGGTCGGGGCCGGCCCCAGACCCCAGGAAGTGGCTGAGTTTGGGGGAAGGGAGGGTTTCCTTTCCCAGAAAACGGGGACCGAATGAGGAATGCATTTTGTGTCCGCGCCGCCCCGAGTCCCGACTTGGGTCCCCGCTCCCCGGCTCTCCCCCCTCCGCGTCCCGCGGAGCCCGGGCCTCTCGGCGCCTGGCACCCCGGTGTCGGGTACTCACAGCGTCCGGGGCTGCCCGTCGTCTTCCATCATGGTGGGTGCGACGGAGCGATCCCGGGACAAGGGGGAGGGCAGGGCTGGGGAGGGGAAGGGGTGGGGAGGAAGGGGAGGGGGACTCCGGGCGCCGGCTGGGGACGGGGGAAAAGGCACCGAACCCTGGTCTCGGGCTTTCTCCCCCCAGTCCGCTCCGGACACTGCGCTCCTACCAGGAGGAGCAGGAGGAGGAGGAGGAGGATGAACAAAATGGCCGCCGCCACCAGTCAGGCAGGAAACGGGGCAGAGCGCAGGCGCGGCCCGCCAGGTCACCGCTCAGGCCGGCCGCGCTGGCCTGCGACGAGGATAACTGAGGGGCGAGCAGAGGGGGCCGCCGGGGAGACCCTGTGCCCGCTGACGACGGCTCACGTCGTCGATTGGGCCGACCGGCCCCCCTGAGCCCAGACAGCTCAAGAAGAGACCCAGTAAAAACAGAAATCCCGGGAAGCTGAACTCTCTGGGAATTGTGGTCCTGGAAATGAGAGGGAAGCGCTTCTCCAGAGGGCTTCTGGGAACTGTAGTGAGGAGGGCACCGCCGGCGCCCGCGCCGAGCTAAGACGCGAAGTGGAGACTTCTGGGTATTGTAGTCGTACGTGGGGACGTGCGGCGACCAGGAAGTCGGCGTGCTGGCAGTAGGCAGGGAGAATAAAGGCGACGGTCCGGGGAGTGAACTACGAGTCCCAGAGTGCCTCGCGCGGAGGGCCGTCCTAGCTTGGCTCCGGGCATTTTAAGGCGCTTCCGTTGGTTCAACCTGAGCTGCTGCTCCGCCTCCATCAACCCCGAGAGCGGTTTCTTCAACTGCTGCTGAGGCAGCGCTCTTCCTCCGCGTGGTGTGCGAGCCGGGCAGCTTTGCCCATTCTTCTTCTCTTAAACAAAACGCCCGCCCCACAGTTGTCAACGGTCGCCTCGCGCTATGAGAGAGGCTAGCCTAGCTGGGACCCCCGAGGGAGCTGGACCTGGGGCCGGGACCCCTTGGGCTTCCCACGAGCCCACTGTGTCCTATGGGTGTGTTTTCCCGCTAATAGGTATTCTAGATTGCGATAAGTTTCCAAGGTCAGTTCATACATCAGGCCTCCCTGAAAGTGACTTTTTGACCCAGTGTAAGGTGCCTTCTTAAATAAGTAAGGTCCCTTACTTAAATCTTGGAGTAAAAAAGAAATCCTTAGACGATTCAGCGCTCGAGAAGCTTCTTAAGCGCGTAGCTGCTCGAAGTCATTGGATGCTGGACAAACGGGTGTGTTTGCTCCATCCATTGGTCCCCACCAGCTGAGAATGTCTCCCGCTGATCATTTTCTTAAGAAACAGACTTGAGTATGCTGTCACTGGAGATGAAGTTAACAAAAATTTGCATGCAGCGGTCATTAAGATCGATGGCATGGTCCGAACTGATAGAACTTACCCTGGCTGGTTTTATGCATGTCATCTGCATTGACAAGATGGGAGAGAATTTCCTGCTGATCTGTGAAACCAAGGGTCGCTTTGTTCATCGCATTATACCTGAGGTGAAGGACAAGCTGTACAAAGTAAGGAACCCCTCACTCACCTGGTGACTCATGATCCTCACACCATCTGCTATCCTGATCCCTCATCAAGGCGAATGACACCGTGCAGATTGCTCTGGAGACTGGAAAGATTACTGATTTCATCAAGTTCAACACCGGCAGCGTGTATGGTAACAGGAAGTGTTAACCTGGGAAGAATTGGTGTGATCACTAAGAGACCGACATCCTGGCTCCTTGGATGTGGTTCGTGTCAAAGATGCCAAGGGCCATAGCTTTGCCACCCGGCTTTCCAACATTTTCGTTATCGGAAAAGGCAGCAAAGCCTTGGGTTTCTCTTCCCTGAGGAAAAGGTATCGGCCTCACCGTTGCTGAAGAACGAGACACGAGACTGGCTGCCAAACAGAGCAGTGGGTGAAATGATCTTTAGGTGGTGTGAAGGTGGAAACCGCTAAGATAAATACTGCATACTTTTTTTTAAAAAGAAAGGAAAAAAGATATCCTTGGGACCAAGATGTGCAGAGACTTAAGACGGCATTTTCTGCTTGCGGACAGGGAATAAAGTCCTGCATGAAGATAATAGGGAGCGCATTCACACTGACTGTGCAGCTCGATAGCATTTGTTTCCACTGTCGGGCTCACAGTGCACCACCCTTCATCCTCACGTCAAGCACCTTCAAGGAGTCCTCAGGTGGCCCCCAAATTGGCTGGCAGCCCATGAAGAAGTGCCTAGGAAACAACACCTGGTGCTCTGCTCTTGACATAGCCTTAAAAACCGTATGCAGCACAAGTCTAATCGGCTCACCTAAGATTTCCATGAGTCAGAACAGACTTGGCAGCAATTCGTTTTTCCTTTAAGCACTGTCAAGAAGTCCTTGGCTGGTATCAAGACAGGGCCAGGGCTCTTGACTGCAACCTTCTTCAGGTGCAGCCACCCCTGGTCTGGATGCTAGAGTGTGGTGCTGCCTCACAGGTTTCAGCAATGCTTCCAGACTAAGACAGACTAGAACAGTGGTTCTCAACTTTCCTAATGCCGTAACCCTTTAATTCAGTTCCTCATGTTGTGGTGACCCCCAACCATAAAATTATTTTCGTTGCTACTTCATAACTGTAATTTTGCTACTGTTATGAATCATAATGTAAATATCTGATATGCAGGATGTATTTTTTTTGCTGCTTGAAATAGTTTATTGTATTTATGTAATAAATCCTCATGGAAAATTACGCTTTGGTTTAGCTCTCTGCAACCCATTCCTGAGCTCTGAGGAAGCTTGCCTTCTTCTGAGCTACCTGATCTTTCTTCTGGGCAAGAGATATTTTGGGAGGACTCCACCTCTTCTTTTTCACATCTCTCTTAGGCTTCTTCTCATAGACCGGATTCTCTCCTATAGTGGTATGTGCTTTCTTGTACATCTCCTCCATCATGTCAGGAGTTACGTTGTTCTTTATGTCTTGAGAAAATTGTTTCTTGTAACATCTTCATCCTCTTCCATTAGGTAGTGCATGTAGTCTGTGACGTTCTGACCCAGGATGTGTTTTCGATGCACTTCTGCATGGAATTCCTTGCTTTCTGAATCATTACCGGGGAATCTCTTGGTACTATGAGGGATAGACAAGCCTCCGTCCACAGTCCCCTTCAGAGCTCCAAACACTTATTTCCAGTGGTAGTCCTGGCAAGGCCGGCATCCAGATAGCAGGTGAAGGCACCACATTGTATTCATCTCCAGTCACCTCCACTTGGCCTTCATAGATTTTACCCATGCCAAACCTATTCAGAAGCCTGCGGGCCAGCAGCAGGCCAGTACAATAGGCTGCAGCATAATTGGCCAGGCCAACTTTCCCAGCATACTTGGGAAGTTCGTGAGCATAAGCTGCACAGACGATCATATCCCCTTCTATGCGGGCACAAGCCAGCTGGCAGATAATATCCCTGTTGGTTACCCGAACTATCATCCTGTATTTGGGTGTATTGTACTTATTTTTATCTTGGATTACCAAGCGTTTTCAAGCATCATGATCAGTTTTGCCCTCGAGTCGTCTTCTAAATTTCACTTGGTATCTCTGGAAGTAGGCCTTGTTCTTGACAACTTTAACAAACCCCATCCTGCGGAAAAGAGAGCAGTCTGCGGGTCGCCGCAGACCCGTAGGGAGAGCGGCTCTACTGCAGGTGGGAAAAGGCCGAGGCTGTGCGCAGGCGCAGTATGTAGCATCCGCGATCACGCAAGTGACGTGCTGAAGAGCGCAGGATGTGTTTTCATTGTTACAAATGGAACATAATTAAAGCATAGTGGTTAATCACAAAAACAGTATGTATATATTGTGAAATATTTCTAATGACAAATAAATGAAATTTTGTCTTGAAGCATGATGTAGCATGGGTAACAGTCTTCATGCCTGGAACTTTTATGTGGGCGTGTCTGCATGTGGCGGGACCCACCTGGAGATGGATAGAGGTGCAGTGTCATGGTTCCTATGACAACCAAAAATATGTGTTTTCAAAAAAAAATAGAAAGAAATGGGTAGCTGGGGAACAGGGCACTAACCTACCCAAGGGGAGGATATTGTTTATATCTCCACAGGGAAAGAGGGACCAGACTTCAACCCCGATGTGAATGCAACATACCGGCATGAAGCAGGGAACCAGTACAGAGGTCTGAGGGGATGGGCCCAATCCCAACTACACGGACAGCCACCCTTCCTCCAGAAGAATTTACTTCAGAGGACAGCACTGAAGCTACAGCTCAGGGAGAGGGACATGTCTGATCAGAGCACACGGGAGCA